GTAGAAATATATATAGAATATTTTCTCTAAAAAACTATACAATTTTTTTTATAAGAGAACTGTTGTACAGAAAATATCCTATAGAAAAACTGTTATATAGATAAAATCTGTTATTCAGAAAATATTCTATGAAAAATACTGTTATATGATAAACAATCTATAGATAAAACTGTTATACAAAAATTTTCTATAGAAAAATCCTTTTTTTACCATATTTTTACAAAAACACTGTTATACAAAAAATTTTCTCAAGAAAAAAACTATAGAAAATACTGTTATACAGTATATATTCTTAAAAAGAACTGTTATACAGAAATTTTTTTATGATAACAATTGTTATATAGAAAATTTTCTTCCGAAAAAACTGTTATACAGAAAATTTTCTTTACAAAAAATTATAATATAGAACATCTTCTAAAAAAACTGTTATATCGAGTTTTTTCTATAGAAAGAACTGTTATACAGAACTTTTTTTTAAAAAACTGTTATACAGAAATTTTTCTATAGTAATAATTGTTATGTAGACAATTTTCTTCAGAAAAAAAACTGTTATAAAGACAATGTTATAAACAAATATCTTTGATATCTTCTATAGAAAAAATGTGATACAGAAGATTTTCTTTAGAAAAACTGTTAAATAGACTATAGAGAAGAAGCTGTTATACAAAAATTGTTTATAGAAAAAACTGTTATAGCAGTTTTCTACAGAAAAATAAAATACAATTTTCTATAGAAAAATCCGTTGTACTTAAAATTGTTTATAGAAGAAACTGTTATACACAAATTTCCCTAAGGAAAAATTGTTATTCAATAACTTCCCTAAGGAGAAACTGTTATATAGAAACTTCTCTAAAGAAAAACTGTTATACAGTAAATTTTCTATAGAATATATATACACAAATTTCCCTAAGGAGAAACTGTTATACTGAAACTTCTCTAAGGAAAAACTGTTATACAGTAAATTTTTATTAGAATATACTGTTAGATATAGATTTTTCTATGGAAATTACTATTATACTCAAAATTTTCTATAGGGTTAACTGTTATACACCAATTTTTGTATAGAAAAATCTGTTATACACAAACTTTTCATTGTTATTACAAACATTTTTCTTTCAGTTATAGAAATATTTTCTAAAAAAAACTGTTATACACAGAACTTTTTGTAGAAAAACTGTTATACACACAATTTTCTATAGAAAATATTGTTATACATAAATATCTTTGTATTGAAAATTGTTATACATAAAATTTCCATTGAATATTATACAAAAGACTTTAGATGACAAACTTATTCTTTTGCCAAATCCGAACAAAACAACGAATATTGGTCTGGTTTAATATATACGCCCAATTGAAAAGACAAAGTAGGCGTGGCTTACTTAAATAAATTCAAAGTTTTTTGTTTTTAAGCCAAACAATATTAATCAAACTCATCTTATATCTCAAAACTTTTGTTCCAAATTTAGTTCAAATTTCAATCTTAACCACGATCTATAAAACAAATTCCCCAAATAGGAAGTCCATAGATCATATCATATCGTTGGAATTAAACCAGGTAGAGTGGTCACTTGAAAAACTAAAAATATGTACTAAATAAATAGCATTGATTATTTCTAGGGATTTGATAAGATTTATTTTAAAGTAGACTTCTGCCAACAATAAAACAATAAAAATATACGTGTGCTTTTAATTTTTAAAACATCAATATTTTTAATTAACAAACAAATCATATCAATTAAAACCCAAAGATAGATAATAAATAAGGAGGACGGTTGGTTGTTGAGTAATAGAAAAATATTTATTTTTATAAACTGATTAATGTTAATGATTTAGTAAATTTTAAAGGAAATATTATAAAGATTTGGGAATTTAAAAGAATTTTTTTATAAATTAATATTACTCATACGCTCTAGAGTTTGAAAACATTAAAATAAACTTTCTTTGTTGTTTGTTTAAGGAATCTTTTTGTCACTTCAATTTTATGATTATTGCATAATATCAGTTAGTTTTCTAACTAATTTTGAAATTTTATCATATGTTCATGTCATGTCAGTTTTAGTCTTCTTTTTAAAGTTCGTGTTTATTATCAAGTGCTCGTTTAATCATTTTTATTAATAGATCTATTTATTTTAAATTGTTATTAAATATGATTAAATATTTATTTTGTATTTATTTTTGCTGCAAAAAAAAAAAAAAAAATTTAACAAAAATTTATATTTAAGTTCACAGTAATTGTTTAAAATTTCCTATGGAAATTTTTATTTCGTTCAGGTATAATTAAGTTAAGTTTAATTTGAAACATGACTTGTGAAAAGAAAAAAAAAAGTAAATTTGCTAAGATGCCTTAATTACTTGTTAATTAAATCTATAGAAATTATAAAGTCTATATAAAATAAAGTTATTTAAGTTCAATTAAAAGATTGAAAAGATTATTTTATTAATTGGCGGCATAAACTGAAATCATTAAAATAATTTTAAAATTTAGATATAGGTCGTACAGATTATGGCAATTGAATTTACGCTCTAACTATTATAATAAAAAGAAATTCCTGCTTAAATATAGGTTCATATATGTCCGATTAGATAAAATTTTCATGTTAATACTAAACTTGATATCAACATATTTTATAACTTTATTTTTAAAACATTTACAATCTGTTTAAGGTTTTTTCTTTGTATTTAAAAATAACTTTTCTTTAAATTATCGGGGAAGAATTTCCTAAACGATTTAATTAATTATCAAAATACACACACATATCGTATGATTTATATTTATTTAAATGATTTTAACTTGCAAACGTATGATTAATATTAATTGAAATGTTTAATGAAGCGTATGATTTATTTAAATTACTGTTCAATATAAAAAAATTAAGTTTTGTTGCAGTTTTTTCATTTATAATTAAAGAAAAAACACAAAATTTTTTATAAATTTATAACAGTTTTTAAGCCGATTAAAACTGTTCAAAAAGATAAAAAGTTTTCGATAAAAATAAATAAAACTTTTATTTAAAGAAAACTAATATAAGGAATTTTCTTAGTTAAAACAGTTGTATAAACAGTTGAAACTGTTATATAAACATTTTGTTGTAGAAAATACTGTGTAAAAATGCCTGTATAAGAGTTTATTTTATGAAAAAATTGTGTATAAGAGTATTTACTATAGAAAATTTGTGTATAACAGTGTATAAACAGTATTAAGCAAATAATATTAAAGCAAATTTTGTTTAAAACAGTTTTTTTTCAAAGTAAATTTTACGTATAACAGTTATTTTTCAAAAAAAAAAAAAATTGTGTATAAGAGATTTTCTAAAGAAAATTTTCTGTATAAGAGTTTCTCTCAAAGAAAATTTTGCATATAACAGTTATTTATCAAAGAAATTTTGGAGTATAAGCGATTTTCTAAAGAATATTTTGTGTATAAGATTTTTTTTCAAAGTTTTTTGAAGGGAAATTTTGTGTATAAGAGTTTTTCTAAATAAAATTTTCTGTATAACAGTTTTTTTTTTCAAAAAACATTTTGTGTATAAGAGATTTTCCAAAGAAAATTTTGTGTATAAGACTTTTTCTAAATAAAGTTTAGAGTATAACAGTTATTTCTGAAAGAAAATTTTGTATATAAGAGATTTTTCCAAAGACAACTTTGGGTATAAGAGTTTTTCTAAAGGAAAATTTGTGTATTAGAGTATTACGGTCTTTCTAAGGTAAATATTGGGTATAACAGTTCTTTCCAAAGAAAATTTTGCGTATAACAGTTTTCTCCAAGGAAAATTTTCCGTATAACTGTTATTTTTCAATGAAAATTTTGGGTATAAGAGATTTTTTTAAAGAAAATTTTGTGTATGAGAGTTTTTTTAAAGAAAATTTTGTGTGTAACAGCGTTTCTGAGGAAAATATTGTGTATAACAGTTTTTTTCAAAGAAAAAATTGCGTATAACTATTATTTTTCAAAGAATATTTAGTGTATAACAGTTTTTATAGTGAACATTTTGTGTATAACAGTTTTTTCCAAAGAAAAATTTGCGTATAACAGTTATTTTTCAAAGAAAACTTTGTGTATAAAAGTTTTTTGCAAAAAAATTGTGTGTATAATAGTTTTTCTAAAGAAAATTTTTTGTATAACAGTTTTTTCCAAAGAAATTTTTGCGTATAAAAATTATTTTTATAAAACATTTGTGTATAACAGTTTGTGCTTCATAAATTTTTTTATCTTACAAAAAACTTGCGTATAACAATTTTTTTTTATAGAAAATGTTGCGTATAACAGTTTTTTATAACAAAAAATTTTGCGTATAACAGTTTTTTTCTAAAGAAAAATTTGCCTTAAATAGTTTTTCTAAAAAAAATTTTGCGTATAACAGTTTTTTATAACAAAAATTTTGCGTATAACAGTTTTTTATAACAAAAATTTTGCGTATAACAGTTTTTCTCAAAAAATTTAAGTATAACATTTTTTTAAAGGAAATGTTGCGTATAACAATCTTTTTAAATAAGGTGTATAACAGTATAGAAGTGGTAATTTTATAAAAAAAATTGTGTATAACAGTATTTTAGTAAACAACATTTTTATGGAAAATGTGTGTGTATAACAGTTTTTTTAAAGAAACATTTGCGTATAATTTTTCATTTATAGAAAACTTTTTCTTAAGTGAAATAAGGTGTATAACAGATTTTTTATAATTAAACTTCTGCGTATTATTAATTTTTTCTAAAAAACAGTATAACAGTTTTTCTAACTGTATAGAAACAATATTCTTATTGGCAAATTGCGTATAACAGTTTTTTCTGAAGAAAATTTTACATATTACCGGTTTTATCTAACAGTTTATAACTTTATAACAGTTTTTCTAACAGCATGAGAAAATTTTGCGTATAACAGTTTTTTTTTTTGTAAAAAAAACTACTTTTTATTAAAAACTTAACTTATAATAATCTCAATTTTCTCTTTTAAAACAAATAAAATAAAAATTTTCTTTCTCTACTTCTTTTCGTTTTAGTGCGGCATGCGCCATCCTAATACTGGACTAAGCGAAGACGACCTAAGTCGTCTTACTGGTTCTTCATCTTCGTCAGCATCTTGTCGTAATAATAATAACAATAATTGTAATACATTATCCTCTTCCTCCTCCTCATCGTCTTCGTCATCATCTTCCTCCTCCTCCTCTTCTTCGTCCTCATCATCGGCTTCATCGTCCGGTGCTAATACTCCTGATGATTGTAAAAATCAAAAACAACAACATATCAAAAATAAACATGATACAAAATCTCCTTCAAAACATCATCAACACCAACAACAACATGCTTCGTCATTACCCGAACAATTGGAAAATAATAAAAACACACAAACACGTTTCAATTCCACATATCTGCCCGAGATCATAAATCCTTTAGAATGGCAAAAATCACGTAAACGCAAAGAACGTCTCGACAGCAGTTCTTCACAAACACAGGATCGTAAATTACAGCGTTCGAATAGCGAGGAACTTTTGCCACAGGACAACGAAGGCAAATTGCAAAATAATAATAATGTAGCCTCCACACCCTCGGATTTGGGAGTGAACACCTTAAAATCTCTCAAAAATGCCGATAATATAAGAAGAGTTTCATCGGAGGATTTCAAACGTACACCCTATGAGGTGTATGAACAGGAATTGAAAGAAACAGAAAATGTTAATGGCTCCAAGGCCTCCGATGAAAATGATGGCAGTTTGGCTAATCGCCAGTCACAGCGCTGTCAGGCCTGGACAGTGGGTGTGCCTATTAAGGATATGACTAGAAGATCACGTTATGAAACTAGTCCGGCCCGTTCACAGCGTCACTCACCCATACGGGTGTGTTTCAGTGGCAATGGCAATAATGGCAAGCATCGCGATAACAGCGATGATAGTGAGTGTGAGCACGAACGTCGTCGCAGCAGTGAACGTTTCTGCAAGTCTCGTGCTCCTCCTGGGCGCAAAGCTTCGGGTGTAACCAAGAAATCGACCAATTCCTCTAATGCCATCAGATACTTGCCCTCCAAGTTGAATGATGAAAATGTCTATAAATACGATTTGTCGGCTTTAAAACATGAAAGACGTGGTTTTATAAGTAAGAAATCATCATCATTATCATCATCTGCAGCAACAGCATCCACAAATGCCGGCGAGAAAAATAATACCAACGATTTGAATGACAATAATTTGATAGATTTCAATAATGCTTCTAGCAAAACTTTGGCCAAAACTATATCACCAACCGCCTCCTCGAATGGCTCCACAGATGATGTTAACATCAATGCCTCAAACAGTTCGCAGCAGCAGAAAACATCAGCCAACAGCAGCAAGAACAGCAGTCAAAACAGTTTACACAAACTTCCTCTAACCACCTCAGCTCAAGATGCACTGCCATGGGATCGTTCGGTACCCGAAGATCAAACTCCCGTTTTAAGCAGACGTTACGCTACCGTACGTCCGCATTTAGTCGATTCCATTGATACGGCTGCTAAACTATCCAAGGTTAAGCCTTTTGCTCAGCCATATCACAAACAACATCAGACCGCAGCCCAAATGTTGGCCAGCGATCTGGATGATGATGATTGCATGGAATCCACATTTCGGGCTTTCACTTCTTTGGAGAATATGAAAACACGTGAGCTTATGCAACAGGTTATACCCAATGTTATGGCCTTTCAATCTCCCGAGGAACGCATGAAACAGATTAACAAACGTGTTACGGCCCTAAAGAAGAAACTCTCTCAACTGGAAGATTCCTATGAAGTGCGTTGTGGTTATAAGCCCTCGCAAGCAGATCGTTTAAATGACAAATATATGAAACATATATTATCGGAATTGAGCAAATTGCGTAAAGAGCGTCATGAGTTAAAGGCTGATCCAATGGCTGCTCTGGGCCTTAAAGTTAGCGGTGGCATGGATGCTGAACAGAAATTATTGAAAATGAAAGCTACTTTGTTAGAAATTGAACAGGTGAGTTTTTTTTTTTGCAATTGTTTGGTTACTTTTTTAACAAATTGCTGGGTCAGACCCGGGAAATTGTGAATAACTTAGTACTATTGTAGATTAAAAAGTACTTGGACTATTCTATGAGCTAGCCTTCTACATAGTTGATGAGTAATATATGTATTTACTATTATATTGATTAGTCTACTGACTAATCTTCGAACCAGCCTACTGGGTAGTCATTGACAGATCTGTGTAGTTTTTGTACTATTCTATGGACTAGTCTATTGGCTAGTTTAAAAATTTGTCCATGAAGTAGTGCATTGGCCAGACTATGGACTTGTCAATGTTTTAGTCAATAACCTCTTCTGTGGTCCGGTGAATTGACTAGTATGTATGAGTCTACTGATTAGTTTATGGACTAGTCTATGGACAAATCTATGTACTTGTCTACTGACTGGTTTATGAACTAGTCCACTATATAATCTATTGACTGATCTATAGACTATATCTGATCTATGGACTATATCTATAGTACAGCATTTTCCATCCCTGCTATCAGTTCTCTTGCTGGTCGCTCTGTTTTTGCGTCTTAATATTCTACTCTTTTATGTTAAGGGTAGAAATTTTACTCTTTAAAATCAATTGTTAATTTAACAATTCTCTTCTCTTAAGCAAACTCTCTTTTGCTACTCTTATTTATCATAATTTGTCAATTTGAAAACTGTTGCCAAAAATTCAATTAATTTTTCTGTGAATTTATTTTGATTGATTCATTCATATATAGGGTTACATACCTATACATTTGTACATACATACATACACATTTAAATGTTTGTCTGTACTGATATATTTATTGATGTTTTTCTGTTTTCTTTTTTACATATTTACGTAGTATTTAATGTGTCTTAAATGTACTCGGCATTCTGGTACTTTTTAAGGCAGCATTTTATTATTATTATTGTTTTTTTAACTTTCAGTGATTTATTTTGGCATGTGTTTATTATACGCAGTACTTTTTACACTCTATGTACTTGTAAGTACATACAAACATACATGACAATTTGTATGTTTGCTTGTAATATACATACCACAGTTGTTGAGTGTTTCTAAAGAAGAGGCTTGTTTTTGTTTACATTTTTAATTATATAAAGTCTAAGACTAATTTGCATATACGATGAAAAACACGGTAGCAATTAAAATTCGGAAGTTTATGAACTATAGCACAGTGGTTTAGATATGTTCTGAAATACTTAAATTTCATTCTTTTTAGGTGCCAAGCCTCCATAATGAAAATAAGTGCCAAGCACCCCTTATGAATGTCCGTGAATTTTTTTCCGAAATATTCACATTGATTTTAAACGAAGTTCGTGCATAAATTTAAGTTTATATATAGATTTGATTGAAGGGACACAAGCAAGTTGAAGAGTTGCCTAGAATGAATTGATCGTTAGTAAGTAAGTAGTAAGTAAGTAAGTAAGTAAGTAAGTAAGTAAGTAAGTAGTAAGTAAGTTAGTTAGTTAGTTAGTTAGTTAGTTAGTTAGTTAGTTAGTTAGTTAGTTAGTTAGTTCGTTAGTTAGTTAGTTAGTTAGTTAGGTTAGAGTTAGTTAGTTAGTTAGTAGTTAGTTAGTTAGTTCGTTAGTTAGTTAGTTAGTTAGTTAGTTAGTTAGTTAGTAGTTAGTTAGTGTTAGTTAGTTAGTTAGTTAGTTAGTTAGTTAGTTAGTTAGTTAGTAGTTAGTTAGTTAGTTAGTTAGTTAGTTAGTTAGTTAGTTAGTAGTTAGTTAGTAGTTAGTTAGTTAGTTAGTTAGTTAGTTAGTTAGTTAGTTAGTTAGTAGTTAGTTAGTTAGTAGTTAGTTAGTTAGTTAGTTAGTAGTTAGTTAGTTAGTTAGTTAGTTAGTAGTTAGTTAGTAGTTAGTTAGTTAGTTAGTTAGTAGTTAGTTAGTTAGTTAGTTAGTAGTTAGTTAGTAGTTAGTTAGTTAGTTAGTAGTTAGTTAGTTAGTAGTTAGTTAGTTAGTTAGTTAGTAGTTAGTTAGTTAGTTAGTAGTTAGTTAGTTAGTTAGTTAGTTAGTTAGTAGTTAGTTAGTTAGTTAGTTAGTTAGTTAGTTAGTTTAGTTAGTTAGTTAGTTAGTTAGTTAGTTAGTTAGTTAGTTAGTTAGTTAGTTAGTTAGTTAGTTAGTTAGTTAGTTAGTTAGTTAGTTAGTTAGTTAGTTAGTTAGTTAGTTAGTTAGTTAGTTAGTAGTTAGTTAGTTAGTTAGTTAGTTAGTTAGTTAGTTAGTTAGTTAGTTAGTTAGTTAGTAGTTAGTTAGTTAGTTAGTTAGTTAGTTAGTTAGTTAGTTAGTTAGTTAGTTAGTTAGTTAGTTAGTTAGTTAGTTAGTTAGTTAGTTAGTTAGTTAGTTAGTTAGTTAGTTAGTTAGTTAGTTAGTTAGTAGTTAGTTAGTTAGTTAGTTAGTTAGTTAGTTAGTTAGTTAGTTAGTTAGTTAGTTAGTTAGTTAGTAGTTAGTTAGTTAGTTAGTTAGTTAGTTAGTTAGTTAGTTAGTTAGTTAGTTAGTTAGTTAGTAGTTAGTAGTTAGTTAGTTAGTTAGTTAGTTAGTTAGTTAGTTAGTTAGTAGTTAGTTAGTAGTTAGTTAGTAGTTAGTTAGTTAGTAGTTAGTTAGTTAGTTAGTTAGTTAGTAAGTTAGTAGTTAGTTAGTTAGTTAGTTAGTGTTTTAGTTAGTTGTAGTTAGTTAGTTAGTTAGTTAGTTAGTTAGTAGTTAGTTAGTTAGTTAGTTAGTTAGTAGTTAGTAGTTAGTTAGTTAGTTAGTTAGTTAGTAGTTAGTTAGTTAGTTAGTTAGTTAGTAGTTAGTTAGTTAGTTAGTTAGTTAGTTAGTAGTTAGTTAGTTAGTTAGTTAGTAGTTAGTTAGTTAGTTAGTTAGTTAGTTAGTTAGTTAGTTAGTAGTTAGTTAGTTAGTTAGTTAGTAGTTAGTTAGTTAGTTAGTTAGTTAGTTAGTTAGTTAGTTAGTTAGTTAGTAGTTAGTAGTAGTTAGTTAGTAGTTAGTTTAGTTAGTAGTTAGTTAGTTAGTTAGTTAGTTAGTTAGTTAGTTAGTAGTTAGTTAGTTAGTTAGTTAGTTAGTTAGTTAGTTAGTTAGTTAGTTAGTTAGTTAGTTAGTTAGTTAGTTAGTTAGTTAGTTAGTTAGTTAGTAGTTAGTAGTTAGTTAGTTAGTAGTTAGTTAGTTAGTTAGTTAGTTAGTTAGTTAGTTAGTTAGTTAGTTAGTTAGTTAGTTAGTTAGTTAGTTAGTTAGTTAGTTAGTTAGTTAGTTAGTTAGTTAGTTAGTTAGTTAGTTAGTTAGTTAGTTAGTTAGTTAGTTAGTTAGTTAGTTAGTTAGTTAGTTAGTTAGTTAGTTAGTAGTTAGTTAGTTAGTTAGGTAGTTAGTTAGTTGTTTGTTTGTTTGTTTGTTAGTTTGTTAGTTAGCTCCTTCATCTGAGCCTCTGGTGGGAATCGAAGCCAAATCGGAAACAAATAATGTCTACGTTAACGCTTTACTTTTTAAACTAACCCACTGTGCGGCCTTTAAATCTTTGTTTATTTACTTATTTTGTACTTCATTTGATTGATATGAGTTTTGATTTGTTCTATTAAATATTGTAAATTTATTTATTTATTGATTTGTAGACAAAATTAAAATTTGTTATCTAATACTAATTAAGATAACACAATAACGGTATTTATGCATTTTTAAGTACATTTTTATTAACATTTTTGTTTATAATATCAACAAATTCTCATTCATTACAATAGTTGTAAAGTGCTTTCGAGAGAATAAATTTTATATAGAAAACAAACTGTTTAATGAATCTCTTGAAAACTCCTTGAAAAATACACAGACTACTTTGGTAGATTTGAGTAGTAACCGAAAATTTTCCCATATTTGTATAACTATATAATAAATTTATAAACAATTTGAATGAATAATTTATTTACCACAAATTTTGCAACATATTGCATCATTAATAAAATAATTGTTTCAAATCAAAGTATTTAGTAAACACAAATATTTCAAAGAATTATTCATTCATTTATTCATCCAAAATAATTAATTATTCATACCAACAAGATTTTAGATCACCGGCGTTTTAGCCTATAGAAATTCTTAATTTAAAATACACAATTTTACAATTAAATAATTGTATATTATATGTATTTGCAATATATATATTTTTTTTCTTTTTTGCTACCGGAAATCAAATTATAAATAAATGTAATTTTCTTTTGTAAACATGTGAACAAATTTTTCATTTTTAATTGTTGTAAATAGAGGATAAAGAATTGTGAAAAATAAATTTAAATTAATATTTTAAATGTAAATTTTGTTCAATGCTGCACATATTTTTTTTTCGTAAAAAACAGAAAACGACAACATGAAAACAATAACATTTGTAAGAATTCTTGTGTAAAATAACAACATTTTTGGGAGGTTTTTGTAGGAAGAAGAAAAACAAAAAAACAGATAAACAAAAAACAAAATAATTATTGGCAAAAGAAAACAAGGTATATAATTATAAAGGGAAGGAATCCCTATAAGATAAATAAGAATTTTTTTCTTTAAAATATTTCAAAAAACATAAAATAATTGTAAAAAAATTTAAATTTTGTAAAACTAAAGAAAATCGAAATTAGAACAAATTGTGCCAGTTCTGAACGTACTTTCAGATTTTGATTCATAGTATTGTTAATTTCTTTAAAATTTACTATAAATATAAAATAGAAAACAATTTTCAAAATTTTTGGAAATTAAGGAAAACCGAAATTAGAACAAATTTAGCCTATTCAAACCGTGTATTCAGAATTTTTATCAGAATATCGTAATTTGCTTAAAAATTTACGATAAATGTAAAATATAAAATATTTTTCAAAATTTTGCAAAACTAAAGAAAATCAAAATTACAACAAATTTAGCCTATTCAAACCTTTTATTCAGAATTTTAATTACGATATTATAAATTGCTTATATATTTACGATAAGTGTAAAATAAAAAATATTTTTCAAAATTTTGGAAGACTAAAGAAAACCAAAATTAGAACAAATTTTACCGATTCAAACCGTGTATTCAGAATTTTATTCAGAACATTGTAAATTGCTTGAAAATTTACGATAAGTTTAAAATAAAAAATATTTTTCAAAATTTTGCAAAACTAAAGAAAATCAAAATTAGAACAAATTTTACCGATTCAAACCGTGTATTCAGAATTTTATTCAGAACATTGTAAATTGCTTGAAAATTTACGATAAGTTTAAAATAAAAAATATTTTTCAAAATTTTTAGAAATTAAGGAAAATCAAAATTAGAACAGGTTCTGCCAGTTCAATCTGTATTTTCGGAATTTTAATTAGGATATTGTAAATTGCTTAAAAAATTACGATAAGTGTAAAATAAAAAAAAATTTTAAATTTTTAAAAATTAAGGAAAATCAAAATTAGAACATGTTTTACCTAAACAAACTGCATTACAAAAATGTCTATAAAATAAAAGTAAATTGTTAAACATTTTACGATAATTATTAAATTATATATTTTTGTAAGGAAAATAGAAGAAAAATGAAATAACTACTGTTTTATTTAAAAGCTTAAATTAAAAAGCCTGCCAAGGGTTTGTTTCTTAGCTTAGCATAGACACTCTTAACCTTTAAGCCCCAAGATATAACAAAATGACCCACTTTTCTTTAAAATTACAAAACTATAAGAAATCTAAGAAAGTTCTTTAAAAACACTGTAGTTTACAACTGGAAAATAAACAGTGTAATAAACAAAATCATTAATCATTTTGAAAATATAATTTTATCAAATAAATAAAACACAAATAAATAAAAACTCAAGGTCTTTCAACTGTTTTTTTTTTCTTTTATATTGTATCACAAATATTATAAAAAAACACACAGATTTAAAAAACTCATCAAATAATATAAATTTTAATTAAAATGTTTTATGGTTTTAAAATAAATAACTCAAAAAAGTAAAACAAGTTAAATAGAAAACGCGAAATCATATTATTTTGTCATAATGTAAACAAGTAAAATATTAAATATTTACATTTTAAAATATTTTATTTAAAATATGGTTTTAAAGGTGTGTTTTTTTTCTATAAATAACAATATAAATATATTATATATATAAAAAATATATATATATAAAATACTTAACGTAAATATTTATATATAAAAAATGTTTTGTTTTGCCCATTTGTAAATTAAAAATAATTTGGCAAGATTTCAATATATAGTATATACCCAAAAAAATAATGAAACAAATACAAAAAAATTGTCATAAATTTTTGTTGTTATTTAAAAATGATATTTATGATTATATAGTAGTCTCTGACGTTATTTGTTTAAATATTTCGAAATATACATATAGTTTGTTCAGACTGTTTTTCTACTCACGTCGATATACTCTACTAATGAAAAGTCATGTCTGCACTTACTCATAACAAATAAAAAAAATTGTTGGGATAAACACTTGAAACAAAAATAAAACAATTTTCAATATTTGAAAATTATTAAAATAATTTCTTTAGCGGAAACTTGGCTTTATGTTAGGCTAGATCAGATATTATTATTAGGTTGATTAAACTTTTCAATACTTAGTTAAGGCAAAAATCTTTTGTTAACAGTTTTTCTAGCTTAGTCTTTTTTCAGGATAATTTAGCCTTTCTGTTTTACTTAGTCCTAAAAAGGCTTTAGAATTAAGAGTTCATAAAAATTATCGATTGAAATTAAGTCTTCATAATACCGAAAAAAAATAAGTGAGGTAATATCACTTAACAATCTAGACTACTGATGAAAAACCCCAATTCCATCGTATTATCAAAAAGATGTTATTCTCTTAATTTAAAAAATTAAAATTTACTCAAAATGTACAAAAATAATGTCAAGACTTGTTCTAGCATTATTGGAAAGTCTACTTTTCTGACCCTTTCGAACTGTTTTTGAAATCAACTTTTCGACTTTTAACGACTTTTCGACTTTTTATGAATATTCGACTTTTTGACTTTTAACGTCTTTTTACGACTTTTCGAAAATTGGTGAATTTACGACTTTTTATGACTTTTCGACGTTTTAAGACTTTTCGAGTTTTTACAACTTTTCGACTTTTTAGTTAGTTAGTTAGATAGTTAGTTAGTTAGGTAGTTAGTTAGTTAGTTAGTTAGTTAGTTAGTTAGTTAGTTAGTTCGTTAGTTAGTTAGTTAGTTAGTTAGTTAGTAGGTTAGTTAGTTAGTTAGTTAGTTAGTAGTAGTTATAGTTAGTTAGTTAGTAGTTAGTTAGTTAGTTAGTTAGTTAGTAGTTAGTTAGTTAGTTAGTTAGTTAGTTAGTTATTAGTAGTAGTTAGTAGTTAGTTAGTAGTAGTAGTTAGTTAGTTCAGTTAGTTAGTTAGTTAGTTGTTTAGTTAGTAGTTAGTTTTAGTAGTTAGTTAGTTAGTTAGTTAGTTAGTTAGTTAGTAGTTAGTTATTAGTTAGTTAGTTAGTTAGTTAGTCTAGTAGTTAGTAGTTAGTTAGTTAGTAGTTAGTTAGTAGTTAGTAGTTAGTTAGTTAGTGTTAGTTAGTTAGTTAGTTAGTTAGGTAGTTCGTAGTAGTTAGTTAGTTTAGTTAGTTAGTTAGTTAGTTAGTAGTTAGTATTAGTTGGTTAGTTTAGTTAGTTAGTTAGTTGTTAGTTAGTTTTTTAGTTAGTAGTTAGTTAGTAGTAGTTAGTTATTGTTAGTTAGTTAGTTAGTTAGTTAGTAGTAGTTAGTTAGTTAGTTATGTTAGTTAGTTAGTTAGTTAGTTAGTTAGTTAGTAGTTAGTTAGTTAGTTAGTTAGTAGTTAGTTAGTTCAGTTAGTTAGTTAGTTAGTTAGTTAGTAGTTAGTTAGTTAGTTAGTTAGTTGTTAGTTAGTTAGTTAGTTGTGTTAGTAGTTAGTTAGTGAGTAGTTAGTTATTGTTAGTTAGTTAGTTAGTTAGTTAGTTAGTAGTTAGTTAGTTAGTTTAGTTGTTAGTTAGTTAGTTAGTTAGTTCGTTAGTTAGTTAGTTAGTTAGTTAGTAGTTAGTTAGTTAGTTGTTAGTTAGTTTAGTTAGTTAGTTAGTTATGTTAGTTAGTTAGTTAGTTAGTTAGTTAGTAGTTAGTTAGTTAGTTAGTTAGTTAGTTAGTTAGTTAGTTAGTTAGTTAGTTGCACTCCCTATATTTGTAGATTCTCGAAATTTTAGCTCTGCTGCTTTAATTCTTCTTGTTGGAAGGGTTCCATTAATTCGTTTTTGCTCGAACTATTTTTCATCTTCTGATCTTTTCATTTTAATATGATCTTTAATGTGTTAATAAAAACTGTTGTTTACTAAATTTTCATTGCGTTAAACATACCCCCATCTGAAACTTTTATCTGAATGTATATACATAGATTCTTGAGCACGTGACAAGCAGTTTATTTAAAAGAAAAAAATATATAGATACATATAGAAATAAAGTATGATAAATTTGTTAAAAATAATTTGTTTATAATATGATAAATGTTTAATCTTAATGGTGACCTAAAAATACATCTGCTATATAATATGATCGATTTAAAATGACAGATTCTTAAAATGTTTAAGGTAATTATTTTTAAAAGACAAAAATATTAAATAATGGACTGAAAGGAAATCTTAGTAATACAAAACTAGATGTCTGATCTAACCAAAACAAATTAGCATTTACTAATTTCTATTTATCTTTTAATCTTTATTTCCAGAGTCTAGCCGAGAAACGTGAAGATACAAATCGTTCCGAGACATTAGAAGAACTAACCGCCGATCAATTGGTACAAGAAAAAACTGCTGTACAACATGGTCTTCTGTACTTCGAATCATTGTACGGAAGACCTTCGACAAAAGATGAACGTGATGCGGCACGCCCACTATACGATCGTTATCGTCAACTCAAACGTATGGTATCGCGTAGTGTCACCTTAACCGGTTCTTGCCTAGGTGGAGCACCAGAATTGCCCACAATTTTAGAACATGAAGCCATGGTTTTCGAAGCAACACCCCTGCAATATTCCTCCAATAACAGTACTGAGACTACTAACTCACCTACAACCGATTCACAGCAACCGCCCACTACCGCCAGTTCAGATGAGTCCACAACCACTACAACAACAGTTAACACACAACCTTCGCAGCAGGAAAATATTAGTTTCCTAACCATCGAACAGTTGTGGGATAATTTGGATAAGACAAGGGAAGAAAAGAAACTGTTAAAGCGTATAATACGCGAATATGAGACTGTATTCGAGGAACAAAATGGTCGTAAAATGTTAAAGAGTGATCGTAAAACTATCGAAGAAACCTATGCCCAATATAAGGAGAAAAAGGCAAAGACACGTCTCTTGCAGGCTTTGATTAAAAAGCAAATATCACGCTGAAGGGTTAATTTGGAAATATATAGATATACAAATATACAAACACACAAAATGTATGTAGTATAGAGTATAGAACAGTTTAGTAAAGTTATATTAAAAGTTTTTATTATTAAAACAAAAAAGCTTAATATAACAGCTGGACGAGAGAGAGCAAAAGAAAAAATGTTTGTGAGCTAAAGCTAAGAAAGCTTAAGTAGGTTTAAACACCTTTGTTAGAAAATATTGAAAATGTTATACAAAAGCTTTAACAAAAAGCTTTTGTTTAACATAGTAAAATATAACAATATTTTATATGTATTTAAAGAGAACAACAACAAACCCCTTTATAAAAAGCATCTCATTTATAACAGTTTTATAACATTTTTTATTTTTTATTTCCTATTAAGGAAATATTAAGGAAAAAGTTTGGTTTTAAACCAATTTATTTTTTAAACTTGTTTTAAAACAAAGAAGTTTTTTTTTATGTGCTTAACTTCTTGTTATTGAAAAAATAATACAGTTTTTTAAAAAAAAATTTTGTTTAATTTTTAAGTAAAATATAAATATTGTTTAGCATCATTTTATATACACACTTACATAAATTATACATTATACATACTTATTATATTGTTATTATTTATTACATACTTTATTTATAAATTATGTATTTTATTTTTGATTTTCTTTTTTTTTCATTATTTCATATATTTTTTTTTTTATTATTATTTCGCTTGTTATATAGTCTAGACATGCCATAAATAGTTTTAATGTTGATAAAAATACAACATAAAAAATAAAAAAGAAATCATGTTAATTTTAAATTAAAAACAAATATAATTCTTTTGTTTTTCTTTTTCTAAAAACTTTTTCTTGGTAAAAAGTTTAAAAAGCAGTAATTAAAGCAGCATAAATATTTTGTAAAAAAACAACAACATAAAAAACTATTAAAATATTTATAAAAATTTATATAATTAATAAACCTTTTTTATATTAATATAAACAAAAAAAATAAAACACAAACTTTATAAAATCCTTTAAGAAAAAATTCCACATATTAAAAATATTTATGTAAGACAATTATTTTAATTCAGCAGCAGTTTTTTTTGAAGACTTTAAAAATTTACACAAAATTTTGAAATTTTTATAAAAAAGACAACAAATTTTGAAAATAAAACAAAATTTTTATAAAAATCCAAAACTGTTATTAAAAAAAACCTATAAAATTCATTAACATATTGCAACTTATTTATAATAATTTATCAAAGTTTTATAAAACAAATTTTCATATGAAATTTCTTCTATAACTGTCTTATACATACAAATTTTATCAAAGGTTTATAAAACAAATTTTCATACAAAATTTGTTCTATAAACCGTTGATAACTGTTTATCAAAACCTCTAAGTTTAAAAGGCTTCACTCCATTCATCCAACATAGGGGATTATTACATTAAGATCTTTTCTATAAGATTGAAATTTGAATATCTTCAAAGTGAGTTCGAAACTAAACTGGTCTATTGACTAATCTATGGCTTATGTAATAGTTTGTTGACTTTTGGACAAGTCTACTGACTAATCTGCTGAATAGTATTTTGACTTCGGACTAGTCTATTGATCGGTCTATTGAATTGTCTATCGATTGGTCTCTGGACTAGTTTATTGACTAATCTAAGGACAATTCTATTGACCGGTCAATTGACTGGACTATGGAATAGTCTATTGACTTATCTATGGACTTGTGTAGTGATCATTCTATAGTCTAATCTATTGGCTTATTTACGTACGAGTCGAGCGATGGACCAGCGTATATACTAATCTTTGAACTATACTACTAACTTATCTATTGACTAGTTTATGGACTTGTCTATTGACTAATCTATGGACTAGTCTTCGGATTAGTCTATGGACTTATCTATTGACTAGAGTATGGACTTGTCTATTGACTGGTCTATGGACTAGTCTATAAACTTGTCTTTGGATTAGTCAATGGACTTGTCTGTTGAATAGCCTATGAATTTGTCTATTGACTGATCTACGGACTAGTCTTTGGACTTATCTAATTACTAGTCTATAACCTACTCTTTGGATTAATCTATGCACTTGTCTATTGACTAGTCTATAGGCTTGCCTATTGACTAGTCTTTGGCCTTGTCTATTGACTAGTCTTTTTACTTCTCTATTGACTGGTCTATAGACTTGTATATTGCCTAGTCTAGGGACTACATAGTCTATAGCCTTATCTATTGACTAGTTTATGGACTTGTCTATTGACTAGTCTATTGACTAGTCTATGAGCTTGTCTTTTGACTAGTCTATAGACTTGTATATGGCCTAGTCTAAGGACTAGTCAATGGATTAGTCTTTGGACTAGACTATGGATTAGTGTATGGACTAGTCTTTGGACCAGACTATGGACTAGTATTTGGACCAGACTAAGGACTTATTTATTGACTACGGGCTACAGATTAGTCTTTGAACTAGACTGTGGACTAGTCTATGGACTTATCCATTGACTAATCTATGGTTTTCTCTATTGACTAGTCAATGTACTTGTCTATTGACTAGTGTATGGACTTATCTCTTGACTAGCCTATTGATTTGTATACAGTCTAGTATAAGGATTAGTCTATGGACTTCTCTATTGCCTGGTCTTAAGGACTTGTCTATTGACTATTCACTAGTCTATAGACTCGTATATTGCCCAGTCTAAGGACTAGTCGATGGACTTATCTATTGACTAGTCTATGAACTAGTCTATTGACTAGTCTATGGACTTGTCTTTTGACTAGTCTATAGACTTGTGTAAGGCCTAGTCTATGGATTAGTCTTTGCACCAGACTATAGACTAGTCTTTGGACTAGTCTATGGGCTAATCTTTGGACTAGACTATGGACTAATCTTTGGACTAGTCTATAGACTTATCTATTGACTACGGGCTATGTATTAGTCTTTGGACTAGACTATGGACTAATCTATGGACTTGTCCATTGACTAGTCTATGGAATTCTCTATTGACTAGTTTATGGATTTGTCTATTGACTAGTCTATAGACTTGTATATAGCCAAGTATAAGGATTAGTCTATGGACTAGTCTTTGGAGTTATCTATTCAGTATTCTATAAACTAATCTTTGGATAAATTTATGGATTTGTAAATTTTCTAGTCTATGAACATCTCTATTGACTAGTCTAAGGACTTGTCTATTGACTTGTCTGCAGACTTGTCTATTCACTAGTCTATAGACTTGTATATTGCCTAGTCTTAGGACTAGTCTATGGACTTATCTATTGACTAGTCTATGAACTAGTCTATTGAGTATTCTATGGGCTTGTCTTTTGACTAGTCTAGAGGCTTGCCTATTGACTAATCTTTGGTCTTGTCTATTGAATAGTCTATGGTCATATCTATTGACTAGTCTATGTACTAATCTATTGACTAGTCTATGGACTTGTCTACTGACTAGTCTATGAGCTTGTCTTTTGACTATTCTAGTCTAAAGATTAGTCTATTAGTCTTTGACCTAGACTATGGACTAGTCTTTGGTCTAGTCTATGGACTTGCCTATTAACTAGTCTATGTACTTGTCTATTGACTAGTCTTTGGTTAGTCTATATACTTATCTATTGTCTGGGCCATTGACTAAACCAATCAATGGCCTATGGAGTAGTGTTTATACTAGGGGAGACTATGTACTTGTCTATTGACTAGTCTATTAAATAGTCGTTTTACTTGTCTGTAGACTAATCTATGATGTAGGCCTTTGTCCGATCTATGGCTTAATGTATTGACTTATGAATGGATTAGTTTACAGACTAATGTATGGACTTGGCTATTTGCTATAAACTTATGGATTAGTATGTTGAGTAGTCTATCAACTACCCTTTTTATATGGACTTGTTTGGGAACGTTGTTATGGGATAAACTTGTGATTATTACACCGATTAGTCTAATACCCTATGAACTACAGGGAGTTAATGCGTTATTTTTGATGTCAAAAAGTACTAACAGAAGTTCACCAGTTTCCATCCCTGTAACAAGGCTTATAATGTTTATTATTTCTTTGAAACAAAAAAGACTTGGTAACTCTAACACTCTAATTTAGACCAGTATTTCTTTTCTCATCTACGAATTTTTTTATCATACTATAAAAAACAAACAAATTTTTCACTTTTTGCTCATTTTACATAAAATAAATGTTACTTAATAAACAATTTATAATTAAATTAATAATTTTTTAAAGGTTTTTTATATACCATACAAAATGTTTATTGAATTTTTTATACAACTACCATGTGGTAAATTAAATTAATTTTATTTTAAAACATTATTTCCTATTTTTTTTTATTAAATATATTTTATTAATTAAATTAACTTTCGCCATTGCTGCTGAATTTTATAATTGTCCTATTAAAAAACAATTTCCTATTGTTCTCCTTTTTTCCATAAATTTTCTTTTAAATGAATTTAAAATATTATATGAATATTTTTTATTATTTTTTAATTTGTTATAAAAATATGTCTCTATTATCAATGTGTAATTTAATTATATATTGAACTGTGATAGTTTATAGTTCTGTTTTTTTTTTTGTAAATTTTTTTTTGTTCTGTTTTATTATTATATTATTTTTAATATATTTAACATAATTTGTTTAATTTTTAGTTTTTTTTTTTTATAACTTAAGAAAACATAATTATTATTACAAATAATAAATTGTTGTTGATTCCTTATTAGTTTTATATAAAATATATAACTAAAGCTATATACTTAAATAATATATTTATACTAATTATATTTGGAAAAAAAGAATAAATAAAAATATATTAACAAAAATATATTATTTACTATATATATAAAAACAAAATAATTACTGAAAATAAACTTTATGCTAAAGAAAAAAAATAAAACATAAAACATAAAACAAATTTCATTTATATTCAAACTTGACACCACAACAATAATCTTTAAAATAATTAAAAAAAAATAAAACAAATTATCATACAATTACATTTAATATTTATACAGCAAAAGAAAATAATAATTAAATAAAATGTTTATCAAAAAAAAATAAAAATAAAACATATTTTCTAACATTAAAATACCTTAAATATTATTAACATTATAACAAAATATTATTCACAAAAGAAAACAAAAACATTTAACAGTTTCACAGTTTTATTTACCACCTAAAGGACTTTTATAATCCTTTTTGCCTAAAAGTGTGCTTTGAATTTTGGGTTTTTAACTAAAACTGTGGCTCTTTTAAACCAAAATTTATTCTAAATATACATACACACGTTTGTATGTTTAATCTATTATATACATATATTATGATTATTATTAAATTCATAACACGTTTATATTGTTATTACTTAAATAATTATCTTATTTACTATATTTACTACATACGATAATTAGTATATCGATTTTTTTTTTGAAGAAAAACTTTAACAAAAAATATATTATAAAAAAATGTTTTAAACAAAAAAACAAAAAAATGTATTGGAGTTTTTATTTTTTTATAATTTTTTTCATTTAATTAAAAAAAAAAAAAACTTTTTCCATCTTATGCTAAAACGTTTAATAAAGTTAACAATGGTTTATTAAGCACTTTTTATCCGATCCGATTTTGTCTTTTAAGTTTTGCTGAATAATTTCAGATACTTTTAAAATTGTTTAGTTTGTTTGAATATACAGCTGCTTAATTGAATTCTTTCTTTAAGCTCTCTTTCTCTCTCTCTCTCTCTGTAAGACAAAATAGGTCTAATTAAGATCATT